TGTACACCATTAACCCTAAACTGTGAACGGTGTGTACACCATAAATAGTGTCTATAATGAAAAGTGTGTACACCATGTATGCGTTGTGAACAGTGTACATGCCTGAATAGTGTCTATCGTGATTAGCATCCATCGTGAACAGTGTGTACATCATGAACAGTGTGTACACCGTGAATCTTAAATAGTGTATACACCATTAACCGTGAACAGTGCCATACACTATATACAGTGTGTACACTATGAACATAATGTACACCATGAACAGTGTATACACCATATACATGTACATCATAAATAGTGAGAACTGCCTACTTTACTAATTATAAATAGTGTAATAGTGAAAATGTGCCTATTTTACTAATTATAAATAGTGAACTGCCTATTTGGCAAATAACTCTTCAAAAAGTGCCTAGTTTCCTAAATCACCCTTTAAAAAATTGTCTAACTTTATTTTTTTTATTAAAAGTGAAAAAAAGAGGCAATTACAAAATTGTGTAATTGAAATATAGAGTCGTGTTCACATATCTTGCATGAATACCTGCGTTACTGTATGTTCGTACTTCGTAGGATCAACCAATTCACAACATTCAATTAAACAAACATACCATGATTGGATATATTTCGACATATTCTTATCTCATCTTTTGTGTTTTTTATTTTGTTCATCTTTTTATTGATCTATTCCATTATATATGTAACAGGTTTGTCTGGCGATCAAGATGAAACCAAGAGATGGTCCGAAAAGAGAGATTGCAGAACCAACTCCAAAGCCTCGAGGTACAAATGAGCTTAGAAAGTTCAAAGTCCTGATCTCTTTGCGGGTATAGGCATTTGATTTTCAATTGAATTTCCAAATCGGCTTCTTTGTGCTTTTGAATCAAGACATTATGTAACAAAAGAATTTCTGAAGCATACTTTTTTTTAATTATTACATGTGTTTGTAATGTGCTGGACGAAATGCATCTTTGAAAAGAACCTATACGTCTAACTTTGTCAAGCTTATATTTACATGTAAAGATTTTGTACAAATACGAAAAGAGGTTAAAAGTCATCAGCACGGTAAATCTCGCCCATAAGCATGCGATTGCTAGTTACTTTGAAACCGAGAAGGGCTGGATCAATCTGCCTCCCTTTCTTGCCTTTCTTCTTCCCACCACATTTGCTTCCTTTGGTTGGATCAGATGACTCTGCCACCTTCTTCATGCTATTACTCTTCTTCAACATCTCACTGAACGATGCTTCTGACCCTGACCCTTTGTTGTCCGCTGCTCCTGGTTCCCGTCTCACACCTCCTGATAATATTTTATAAAGACCGAGTCTCATTTTCCATGAATAATGCATTGACAAAAAGGATCCTTAAGATAGATACCTTCAATTCCACTATAAGAAGTCGCTGTCCTATTAGCTGTGTCTGACATATACTCGAGCAATCCTTCATGTGATGATGACGAATGAGATGAGGGAGGCCTTTTTAACAAAACTGAGTCTTGCCCATGTGATGAAACTACCAACCTACAAACACTCGGATTTTTGTTCATAGCAAATATATTACTAAAGGCTTGAGTTTCATTCTGAGCTTACCGCCCACCATCAATAATTCTAGAAAGCAAGTAACTATTACGGTGCAATGATCCCATATATTTCCCATCACTCGGTAATTTTTATACATGTTCATAAAAAATTGCCTATGACTCAAACGTAGACGAAGCGTTTAGACCACCACCATGGTCTGAAAGGCCGCAGCCTGTTCGAGGCATCCTGTCATAGTGCTCCTCGCGGTTCATGCTTGGTGACTCAGAAGATTGATGGTCGGGTCTCTGGTGGAGTAACTCCATAAAAAGCTACTTTGACTTGTCATCTGTGGATCCATCTACCATCCATGAGTTGGGATCTTCACCAAGTCTCCTAATTCCTGACCTCATGTTATGATTTTCAGCATTAATATTTGATCTATGAAATTGAGATTCAACCCAGTCACTAGCTAACTGTGTATCGGCTCCAGACCAGCGTCCTTCTATTGGTTCCAATTGTGGAAAGTGTGGTTCACCTAATGGTATACGGGAATTATGATGATTGAAACCCAGAGTACAATTCTCCAATCTGCTTGAGGATTGCATGTGGGCAGTAGCATCCCGCAACTCCAGACCCTGAGAGAGTCCAAGACCATTTACTGTATCCAGTTTCAGCCCCGATGCACTTACGGGTAAGGATGCTAATCGCTCAAATGGAAGACCCTATTCGAATAATTCTTGTCTAAGTTGTTGCTGATATGAAAGGTTCCGCTCAAGTTGACCAAACTGGTTCTCAAAGGGTGGCCTCTGCTGCTGTTAATGAAAGTCTAGTGGTCTAAAATCTGCAGAAGAGCGCGAACGATGGATCCCAAGATGAGTTCTTAGAAAGTGATCATTATGTTCAGATGGCCATAGAGGGTCAATATGTCTCTGTTCCTCCAATAGTGTATTGTGCCTCACTCAATTTGCTAATTGCATCAGCTTCTCTTGCTGCAGCAGCTGGTACTCCAAAGACCTGTTTGTTTTAGACTGCAGTTGCCCATGTGGAGACTGCATTTGTCCATATTGAGACTGCATCGGTCCATATTGAGATTGCATTTTTGTTGAAAGTAGCTATTGAAGTAGCTCTCTGTGATGGCCTTCGTGCTGTAACTGCCCGAAATTTTCTGCAGCAAGATGCTCAATATATGGTGAGAAATTTCATGACGGATGGCTAGCAATTTTCTTCAATTTACTCATTAGCTGCTGCTCTAACATCTGATCAAAATTGTTGGTTCGAGGGAAGTCATGCGATTGATGGCCAGAACTTCTCTGCAATTCTTTCATTAGCTGTTGCTCTAACAACATCTAATCAACAATGTTGGATTGAGGGAACTCATGTGACTGATGGCCAGAACTTTTCCGCAGTTCATTCATTAGCTACTGCTCTAACATCTCATCAACATTGTTGGATCGAGGAAAGTCATGCGACTGCCCAAACCTTGAATCAGGAGTCTGTCCTTGTAGAATCTGTTGAAAATGTAATTGTCGAGCATGGGA